ACTTCGAATAGAAATTAAATTTTTATTCAACTACATATTGAATGAGAAATTTATTGTAGACTTCGAAATGGAAATACACAATAGTTATAAAAAAATATTCTTAATTTTTAAATGCATTATTTATATTAAGTGTAACAGTATATTACTTATTATATAAAATAATTCCCAGAATTTCTACTAGTTTTCGTTATGTATACACTTATATGATAAGAAATATCTTAATAATTCAACAAATTTAAAAGATTATAAATTCAGAACTTAATTTAAACTTAAAGAAAATGGTTTAATTTTAATTAATTAAAGTAGGAATTTTAGGTTTCTGTTCTTTTTTCCAATGTCCAATTCAATTTTAAATAGACTAAATGATGAAATATGTGTATTCGAACGTCTTATAATACATACTAACGAATTCCTCGTTATATTAGGCCATCGCGATCCTAATGTTATTTTCGTGTATCAATTTATATGACAACACAAACACAACCTCATATAGTTGATTTTCTAATTTTAAACTTTCTAAAAATAGAGCATGGACTAGAGGTATCTAGATACATTTCGTCTATATCCATAACATTTGCTACTTAAATGTATTTGATAAACTATCATATGTTTTCCATTAACTACTTTTTAATCTTGATGAACCCTTCGTGTAAAATATTTTTATGTTCTTAAAATTTTTTCCAAGAAATATTGAAAAAATTAATAGAACCAAGGAGAAACTTTCAAAATAACAACAAAATATATTGCAGGGGAATAAAAATAAATAAACAAAAACTGTTTTTCTAATGGAAAACTAATTTGTAAAATAATCATTAATGATGGATTAACATCAACTCAACATCGGAAAATGAAAAAGCAAAAAAGAAACTATCAGTACCATAAAATAGGAAGATAAAATTTAAAAAAAAAAAAAAAAAACAAAAATTAAAACCAAAATCGGTTAAAAAGGAAAATACTATACACTTGTGTATGCATGTATGTATGTATATGTATATCTTATCAAGAAAATCAGAATTTTTATCAGATGGTATAGCATAAGTGCTTATATATGCTCAGCATGCAAGGCGCGAAAAAATGTTCTTGCTTACAAACATATACGTACTTGGATTCATGTAGAAATTTTTTAACAGAAAATCGTTGCATTTTAACATTGTACTACATGATAAAAACTTTTACGGGTTCTAAAGTCTTATAACACAAGATTTTTTTAGCTAATATATTGGTACTCAAATATCATTATTAGAAATTCATTATTAGAAAACTATTTTTTTTTCAGTTTTATATACATTTAAGTATTATACGACATAAAATGTAAAATTAAAAACTTACATGGTACATAATAAAGGTAATACAGAAGAAACAATAACAAGAATAATAAAAATTTCTATTCATTTTAAATAATTTAGAAACTCTAATGACTTGTGACGGGTTAATGCCATCAGGCTTTTTTTTACTATAAACATATATATGTATGAATACAATGTAAATTATAAAAATATAGTATCTCGAACTTGATTACTTTTTAGAAAAAATTCTAATCAACCATTTAAGAATAAAAATTTTTAAATAAGTATGTAACCATATAAAAAATAAATGTTAATACGAAAGAAATGAAAAATTGCAAATAAAAAAATTACCATTAAATTATTAAAATTTAATTGAATGAAATTCAAAGAATTACTTACATTTATGTAAGCGAGTGGACAAAAGGCAACTATAGAATAGAATTCAAAAATTTTATTTTTAGAATAATAAAGATAATAATAGTAATATACTAGTATAATAGCTAATTACTAATTCATTTTTTTTTTGGCAACAAAAATTTCGCCACATGCCAAGAAATATTATTAGGGAAAATATAAGCTTTTACCAAACGTCAAATTTCAAAAAAAGTTTCTTATAACCTTCCATAACTAAAGTGCACCTTATAGGTAAAAGTAAACTCCTCTAAAATAGTTAGTTTTAGAGGAAATTTAAATTAGTTTTCCTAAGCAGTTTTTAATATTATCAAATGCTATGTCACTAAAAAGTTTGATATCCAGACTTTTAGTGAATTGAAATTTTCGTTCAAAGAAACTCAACAAGAAGCTTTTAAAAAATATGACCATATTTCATAAAACATCTATTTTTATTTAATATTACGACCAGCAAAATATGTATCTACTTTAAACCTGTTAGATCCCTTTTATTATAAATATCTTTTGTAATTACATATTTAGTGTATACGCTTATATATTTTCCCTAATTAATAACATGACCGCTTTTAAATTTTGATCTTATTTATAAATATTTTGCTCTAAATCAGAAAATAATAAATACTCTTTATATGAATTTTATACGATTTGTGGAACTGCATTGATATTAAGTCACTTAGACCTTTTTCTTTTACTATTGCATACTTGTCTTGCAAGTTGAATGTTTATTTAACAATTTCAATATCTTCAAGTAATTAAACAGACTTTGTACATCAATGCCTATAAAATGTTAATAAATACCCGAAAAAATTGCTTAGACTAGTTAATTTAATTAGAACTTTTAGAATTTCTTCTTATACTTTCTTATTTTTATAACGATCTTTGAAAATTGTCAGCCTATTCAAGTACTTAAATCTTATTCGCATTAAGTAATCAATTGATCGCAGATTTGAAATTTTTAATATGTTTAGTTGTTCTTTTTTTTAGCAATTTTTCTTCTGAACAGGCAGCACGTCACTTTCCTGTTGGCTTGAATTTAATTAATTTGAGACATTCATTAACAGAAAAAAGATTCATTACATTTTATAACTTTAATTTGTTTTTTTCTTTAAAACTCTCCTAATATTATTTAGAAATATGTGTATTTAATCAGATGAGATTGTATTTTTAATTATATAGCTCTAAGGTTACAAAAGAAATTTAAGGCAAAAAAAAAAACAAAATACTAGTTAGTTAAGCAAGTTTATATTAAATTAATTTTTTAAAACCAAATTTAATGAAATAAAACTGCAAAAAACTATTTATTTAACAAAAATCAAATAAAAGAAAATTAAACTCAAATTATGAATTAAATGTTGCGTGAAACATTAAAATTTTTAGCCGTTAATCAGTTTGATATACCCCAAAGCAAAAATGTTCCCTGTTAAAACAATAAAAATACACGCTAAAGTAAACTTTTATTAAGTTTGTTACAAGCAAAAAACAGATAATGCTTGCTTTGGATATTGAAAATAAAGAAGATCAACTACATTGTATATTTATGAATATTATAGTAAAAAAAACTTCCCCTTAAAATAATAATAACATGCCGAAAAAAGAGGTGAATAGTAGAAACTTAAATAATAACAGTGATTTTTTGTTTGAAATTATGTTACTTTACATCTAAAAAAAATTTAAAAATTTATTTATTCGTTTTTGCTTTACTTATTCGGGTTCTTGACCTTAATCTATTGTCACGCGGCTCATTTAAAGAAAAAATTCAATTTGCTCTTCCACTAAAGCAACATTACTGTTATTGTATAGCTAGTATTGAAAAACTAAATATAAGTAAGTAAGTATTAATAATTATTATATTCCTTAATATTCACACTAGTGCATAGGTCAATCTTACGTTCGTAATAACAAGAGCTGTGAGAGACGTTGTATCTATTGATGTTCTCAAAATTTAATTGTAATTAAAATTAAAATTTAAATTTAATTATAATTAATTCAATGAAGATTTAGGTCAATTAAATTAATAAAATGAATTTGAAATTTTAATGTAGCAGTAAAAGATTGTTAAATAATTTTATATTACAACTGCTGCCATTAAGAAAAAAAGCACTAATTGTGTAGCATATTAATTGTTTTACGTGAAGTGAATTTAGATCACTTTCTAAACAACCTTTTGCACATTTGTATATTGTAGGATAATTTTATTCATTTAAGATTTTGAAAATATCTTGAATGGTCGAATAACTTTAACAAATTAAAATAAGTATAATAATCAACAAGATATTTAAGAGCAAGTAATTCTTTCAAAAATGTGAAAGATGAAACTTTTGAAATAGTATCTTAAAGCCCAATTCATAGCTATATTTTTGAAGTAGTATTTAGTTAGGCCAAGCAACCGGCTCTTCTATATGAAAAATTTTTTTCAATATATGGTAGATAATGCAGGATTTATACATTTAGATATAGATACGCATTATTTAAAGCCAAAGTAAAGCTAATCAAAATAAAGAACAACATGTGAAAACCGGGAATTTTCGAAAGAAAACCGTTTAACAAATACTATAAATACTTAATGTTGTACGGTTCATTTAACAGGCCGCGATACTTGGATGATCTAAGTAATACAACATAGCTATCACCAAAACAAAATTTTCTGGCGATTTTATGTCTGGAAAAAATTTCTAATAATTTGATACAAGGTACTAATTATTTTTAATACTCTTCAATATAAACGACTTGACTAACCAATTAACTTTTTACAGTTAAAAAATAAAAAAATCTTTTTTTGAAAGGAAACTTTTTGGTTTCTTAGACTTTCCTTTTCACAATTAAGTAACCACAACATTCTAAATGTATAACAGGAATAGCCTAAGGTATTAATTAATTGTGTTTATACAATTGAAATAATGTAAAACATTGTTAAAACACTTGGAAAGTATAACATTATTCGACTATATATTTTGGGAAAATCTAGTCGTAAGTAAGTATATCATACTTTTAGTTAGCTTTCGTTAACAGTAGAACTTATAGTAATAAATATATTCTTGCCTTGATACGGAAATATTCCACCTGTATAATCACTCATTTTACTTAACTCCCATTTAACAATATTGTTATATTTTCAATAAATTCAAATAAATTTATTCTAAGGTTTCGATTAAGTATATTTTATCCAATTAAAACACTTAAGTACTTATACAATAAGGCTATAATAGGTAGTAAAAGATAGTATCGAATTGAAAATATCACATATTTTAATTTCACTCATTTCCGAAAATTCATTTATGAAAGTTTTAAACAAAAAATGCTCACCATCTTTCTTTAATTTTGATTAATTTTATAAATTTTATTTAATTCATATTTTTACTTGAAATTATTAAAAAAATTATTGCTTAAAATTTATAACATCAATTTCACCTGTTTTTTCACCTGTTTCTAATTAACTTTTTATGATTGTTCACTTTACAAAAAAAAATATTTTTTTTTCTTTTGCCACTATATAATTCGTTATTTAATATTTTAATTAATTATATTAAACAATTTTCACTAGAAAAATTAATTTTTATTAAATATCATTAATTATAGTTTTTTATTGACCACCAATATGTCAAAATTTGAACCGTATAAAAAGTAGATTTCAAAATATCGGAAATCACTGCAATTTAATTCACAAAAAAAAATTTTTTTTTTAATTTTTAAGTTAATTTCATTTTTTTTTTTTTTGTAATTTTCTTTAATTATTATTTGCAGACATTTTTATTATATACTTTTATGTACATATGTAGTTCCATGTATGCCTACATTCATAATATATAATATAAAAAAAGAACAATAACCAGAAAAAGTATTTTTTCTCCAGGCGATATTTTTTTCGCACAGGTGAATCAAAAATGGAACAGATAATTTTTCCAGGTTAATTTTTTTCCATACACATACACATTGTATCGTTCTTTTTAACCGTAAACTATAATATATTCAAAATAAGAAAAAAATACACAAAGAATTCTAGACTTATTTTTAAAAGTAAACAAAAAGTAAATGCTCTTCTTTTACACCATTTAAATCAACAACAGTAATAATAGAACTTATGTATGTATGTATGTATGTATAAAATGAAATAAAAAAGCAAACAATTAAACCCGTTACTTAATTAATTTATCTCATCAAGTAGATCACGAAAAAACAGTTAAAAAATTTTTTTTTATTTTACTTCACATCGTCGTTATTATTTTTACCTTTGTTTTGAAAATTATAATAGAAAAGAAATTTAAAAAAAAAAATAAAAATAAATATTCTAAAAAATTAAATTTCTATTCAACAAACACCGATTTAAACAACCGCTTTCATTAATATTCCCGCAAACACTGAATTCAAAATATAAGCAAATGTCAATAACAGTCTAACAAATCTAAGCTTTGCTTCAAATGAGCTTCTTATTCATATTCATATACGAAACCGAATGTAAAGTCACACTCACCAGCCGCAATAAAAAAAAATAAGTAGCTTAATAAAAATTTCCGTTTTAAAGTCGACTAATTTTCTCAGCTGGCTATCAAAAACTGCTAGGCAGGTATTTTCATTACGTTGAAACGAAAAAGAAAATAATAACTGTTGCTGTTTTACTGCTGTATAAGTAACTTTTGTTATGTTTAGTTGTTGTGTTGTTTGGAAAATTTGAAAAATGTGGAAGCGAAACGTAAATATTTTTGTTCTCAGCTGGGAATTGTTTTGATTTTCTTTATATTTTTGTATATATGTGGGTAAATTTAGTGGTAAACTCAAGCGTTCATATCACACACACAATTACTCAATTCTAGCGATAATTCGAGATTATCTTGTATCCGTTTACATAAATATAAAAACTTTTCCCATGATTTGATTCATTCGATTCATACATAAGAGAAAATTCAAATTTTTAATTTAATTTTTTTTTTTTAAATTAGGAGGATCAGACCTGTTTAAAACTTCTATCAAAAGACTGTCGTTATATGCAAATTAAATATGAAGTATCATGTAATAATATTATTGTTTATAAACAGATGAATTGGTAATAGTTACATTTTTTCTTTAATATAAAAAACAAAGCCTCTCATCCTATATTAATTGAATAAAAACAAAAGAAAATATTAAAAATTCTAAATAACGACATTATAGAATCTCATATTTTAATTGTTTTAGTAGTTCTACACAACACCGCTCAACGAAATACTAAATGCATTTTCTCTGTGTTCCAAAATAAGGTCAGGTCTCCAATGAATGTATATAGTGCGAAACTGAATCTGAAATTCTTTTTAATTGGAATATTAGGCGTTTTACTGCTGTACGAAATGATGCTGTTAACAATTTGATAGCTTTGTAGAAAACGTAATCCAGTCTAATATACGATAGTTAAAACAAAATTACTCAAATTTTAAGGCATAAAAAGTGAGATGTTGAATGAGACATACAAAAAATGAGAGCAAATGAATTTACAATGTTAACTCTGTAGTACCTAAACGAATAAGTAATTCTAAGAGTTGCATGACAATTACTCCACTTTTTCATGTTACCCATTGATTACATGATACCGGTTTGATTATTCATAGATGTAATTGATACTGAATTTCAGTGATTTAGTATGAATCTTGGTAAAACATGATTAAATATAACTTTTAAAATAGCCCAGCAATTGCGATAAAAAATCATAACGAATCTTAAAGATTTTAAAGCAAAGTTGTCCTATTATTTATTTCTTATATTATTTCATTGTTTCTGTAGTTCAAATCATTTTAGCAGTTGTATGGCAGCTTGCAAAAATTTTCCCAATTTTAATTCAGAGTTTTTCAGTTAACTATTGTCCAGTTAACTATCCAGTATAATTAATTAATAATACACATATATATTAGTATTGATATATTCTCAAACCTATTTCTAAGCGTTTTTAAATGTTAGCCGAAAGGTTAAACTTAACTAATGATTACAAACAACAATATTAAAGTGCAGGAGCTTTAACATATACGCGTATGCTCACGCTTTGGAATTAAGTCGCTCTGAAAACCATACGTTATTTATTACTTTTACAATGTCACTTAAGTATGTAACTCTCTTTCTTACCTATATTCTTAACTATATGAAATTTTTTCATTCAAAAGAAAAATTGCAATTTCTCCTATACTTCTTTAAGATTTGTACTCTATACAAGTAAGCTTTTGTGCATGTATATGTAATTATGTTTATCTAGTTTTACTACTTCTTAGTGCATAATCACCTGAGTCAGGTTTTCGTATAAAATCCATAATAAAACAAAGAAAAAATTCTAAAAATCATAACAAAACCAAAATAAAGTGAATTTCGTTGGCTGTGTTGTCGTTTCTATTTTCAATTTTGACATGATGTTTACCATTTTCGATAATTTTTTTTTGAATTTTTTTTATGGATTTATATAATTTTATTAAAGATTTCCAATTCAATATTCCTGATCTTACCATATTTGTTCATCCAGTATTGGCTGCCGACTTTTTAAATTTCAACCTCTTTTTACCGACCGTATTATGTATACAATAGGTAGGTTATGTGATGGCAACAAATTTTGTCATCAACATATCGAGTTTTCAGCGGGAATGCACTTCTCCATGGTAGGGAAATGTAAATAAACTATTTTTAGCAACCTGTCAGTTTGTCGGTCTGTGTGTGAACGCCTGTGTCTCAAGTTCGGCTGAACCGATTTTGATGAAATTTTATACGTAAGTTGAAAAGTTTAATCACGGATTGATCAACTTTTGGCATATATCAGGTTACGGGAACTGCACTTTTTAGCGGGCCTGTTTTACTTTTTTGTCCATTTTGAAGAAAACATTCAATTGTTTTACTTGAAATTTCATATGTAAGCTTCGCTCGACCATCCGCGAAACCACCTAACTTTTGGAAGAAATCAGGCATCAGCAACTGGACGTTTACTACGGGCCAAATACACATTTTTGTGTATATAAAAAGAGAAATAATCAACCGATTTCATTTAAATTTAATATTTAAATTCTTCGTATTAATACAATGAACATATAAATTTTTTGGAAAGATCAGGGCTTGAAAACTGATCTGTGGGCCGATTTTACATTTATCACCATATCTACGGAACAAATTAATGCAATATCTTAAATTTGATATTTGAATTCTGGTTGTTACCCAAACTAACTGGCGAGCATTTCTGGGAATTCGGGTAGCACACAGCGAAACCCTACTATATGTACATTAGAGCCACATGTACATTTTTCTAGGTTTGTTAGCTATAAGCTTACTAATGTCCTAAAAATTGGAAAGAAGTATTCGACAGACATTTTTATAATATTCTGTTACACTTTGACTTAACTAGACAATACACATTGCGGTCGGTTATGTGCTGATCACATCAGATTTTTTACTTTTTACTTGTTACTGTGTACTGGAATCATTACTATAACACGATGATCATCTTGAAGGTGTTAGATCATAAGAAAGTTTTTGTGCATTTTTTTGTTATTTTGTTACATACCATATTGTCGAAACGACGACAATACAATGCCAATTTCCTGTTTTGGTTATAGAATATTTTTTTTGAAATATTCTGCACTTATGTTCATAATATGCTTATACAATATGCTCTTCTACAAGCGATTTAATCAGTCAAAGAAAAAGCGAAAATGCTTATCATAACGTTTAACCTATACACAATATCCAAATTAAAAAATAGTGTTCCAAAATGTTCATACTTGGTTTTGTACTACGTCTCTCAATAATTTTCTCCATATTACTTTTCGAAAAAAATGTACTTTCATTTTAAAAGTTTAGTAAAATAAAAGTCTTAAGAATCTTGTTAATCATCACCTGATTGCGAAAACTACTAATAATTATTAAGTAATTTTGTCTGAATGCCACACATAATGATTGATGATATCAATATCAAGTTTATGTGTAATTAATAAAAGAATGAAAAATTTTCGTCCAAGGAGCAAAAGTACCATATTTTCAGGACAGCACCTATTATAAAATTTTATTTTGTATTCATTGTTTCAACTGTTGAAATTAAAAATAGAATTTTAAGATATTCTAGAAACTGATATCGTCTGGATTAATTAAGTATCACAATAGGTAATAAAATAACTAAGGAAAAAACCCCAACAAAATAGTTCCAAGCAACATCAATATCAAACTAAACAACAATATTTTACATTTATATATGCAGATTTGGAATGTGGAACAAAATAGTAAGAACAGTCATTTCTCGCTAAGTAAAAAAATTGTAGCATTTTCTTGCACAATTTTTAACTATAAGAGCAGTCGTTACACGAAAATTGTTACATTTGGGTAGAACCTATAATACACAGATTTCGTTTTTACAACAGTAGGCAAATGAATGTTTACTAGATATCGCGGCACTATTGTTATGTAAACAATATTTCCAGCACAAACCTAACCAAAAATGGAATGACTGTCGCCATTTTTGACACTTGATAATAGCAGGTACAAACAGACACATAATTACGCATAAAACGGTTTAAATTGCACTTTATATCGAATATGAATACAGTAATGTATCTGAAGATACTTTTGTTTTGTATTTGCACCGCCATATAACTGTTTTCTTTTTTGTATTATTTCATTCTTTTCGTATTTGTTTACCATTTTTCTCTATTTAACTTGGTTGCTTACGTTTTGCTAATTCTTTTTATTCCTTATAAATTTTCCTTTTTTGATAGCTCGGGGCATATTATATTCACAACTTTTGCCAGCAAACGACATATAACTAACATTACAATGAATAAAGTTAAAGTAACATAAAATGGGCATTAATATTGTAGTAAAATAAAACTGAATGAAATTGTCAATAAGGAAAATGGTTGTTGGAATTGCACATTTCCAGCAAAATCGGAAAGACTCCATAATGATCGTCCGTTTTTCCGTGCGTTGTTTTACAAAACTTCTACATCTTTTAAGATAGAATCAGAAATACCTATACATCTTTGAGAGAAACCAAAATCTCTAGAAGAAAATTTTGATCTTCCTCGCCCCCTTCTGATGTTATGCCCCTCATAGTTCTAAAAGTGATTTAGGAGGACTATGAGGGGCATAAAATTTGTTGATAATTTTTTATGTTAAAGTTACAAAAGTTCTAGATCTATGGAATTTGTAAATTCTACAAACGCAGAAACATAGTTTCTATTATCCCGAAATAGCATAGCCAAACGTTACAATTAAAAAAAGGCCGCCAAAATTAACGATTATACGCTGAACACGTATTTCCAAAGTTTTAAATCATAAACACTTTTTTTTCTAACATCTCAGTTTGCAATAATTTGAAATTAAAAGGCTCCAAGAGTAATTGATTAATAATTTATTT